TAATTATAATAAAAATATTTTTAATATAAATAAGTCTGATTAACATCAACAGTTGACTATTTATTAACATCACTCATTTATATTAAAGATATTTTTGATAATTATATAACGAATTTTTATTCTCTAAAAAAAAATAATACATATTTTTGCTCGCATAGACTTATTATTATTATTTGTAGTTATTTTTTTCAAGGTATTTTTTTTATGGCTCAAGACAAGATCTAATGTCTCTTTTTTTTTTCCCCCAAGTCACGATATTGGTTGTTCTCGCTACGAGATATTTAACACTAGGTATACAGAGCGTATGTGTTTATTCGAAACATACGCGGTGCTGTTTAAAGATTTAAAGATGCACCGCGATCTGATACGCGAGATAGGATTCAGCGCTGGATGCAGCTCTGTTTCTTCGCGGGAAAATTATAATAGTCATCTGCTTATTCTCGATGTATACAAGAGATCAATGTCGTATCGTCACGCGTTTGAATTTAAGTGCACGCCGCAAATTAACGCGTGTAAACAATATCCGAGAGTCGCAAACATATCGCTGATTTGTGATTATGGGAGCTCACAGTACAGTTTCATCATAATAGTTAATATTGCGCAACGCGTGATAAAAGAATAATGAGATTTAACGCATTACAAATGATAAATTAAAGTACTGCTCCGAAACATGGGTAATATATGTTAATAAACACGCGCCGCTCTTTTTTACGAATTCTAAAACAGCGCGTAGTTTCGTAAAAATACTGGGACGAAGCAGGATGTTTATCAACACATGGCGGGTCTTTATTTCATTTTTATTCCCTGCGTCTGAATGTATCGATTTCGACTGCATTTATTTCGTCTGTAAACGTTTATAAATATACAAGAGAATAAATTTCAATCGTATCTACAAAAATAAAAAAGTGAGGCAAATAAATGAAAGAAGTAAAGTAAACTGAGTAATCATTTTACTTAGCAATAGAATAATATTTTTCTGTGTGTACATTTACGATTGTAAAAGATGTAATCTCGAATTAGGAACACGATGTTTGTTTACATATTTTGTAATTAGTTGACATAATTTTCCCCATGTTTATTTTGATTCTTAATCTTAGAAATCAAATGAATGACAATATTGTAATGATATTCCTGAGGAAAAATCGAAAATCCAAGATTTACTCTGCATCTTTCGCGATGCATTTCGCTCGACGAAGAATCGCGGAGTTCGGTTCAAGTTGCGAATAAGGGAAAAAACTTTCACGCCATGTACGTAAAGTGTCCTTTGCTAACGTATCGCAAAGATCGACGCAGGGATGTCGTTTTAGTCAGTGCCATTAAGTCGCTAAATGTCCTCCGGTAATGGCCGAGCAAGTACGGCCGACGCGAGTTCTTGAGCCCTTCGAGAGAAATGCATAACAGATATTCGAGTGACAGTTTAATGGAGTATCGAGAGCGAGTCGAAACTTTAATGCGGGATTTAAACCATCAGGTAAAGTCAACAGATTTGATTTTATGAGATTTTGTTGATAAACTTTATGTTCTGTATACAATCCTTTTCGATGGCGGAAAAATTTTCACACATTTCTCTTTGAATAATAAATTTAAATTACGATTATATATAAAATAAAATTTTATTGTTAAAATTGCAAAATGCAATTGTATCAAAATATTTCAAAATTATTCAAGATTATAAAAGAATCGCAATCAGTTCAACGAGATATAGTTACACAGACGCGATGATTTGTTTACGAGCTTATTATTGGCTGAAATGTTGAAAGATCTACTATATCGTGTGGCAAAATCTGTTTGAAGAGAAGTAGAAGTAAGAAATTATTCTCGTCGTTTGGGCGGTAACGAATGATTCATCGCGCGATGTTACACTTGTAGATCTGTTACCTCCAAGAGTTGTCTTGATAAAGCGATTAATGAACAAATTGATATCTATTGCTAAAATGATAAAAAATTGCTACATTGTTCGATTCTTATTCGAATTTTTTGTAATAATATATTTTTCTTTTCTTGATAACTATTATACTTTCTATATTTCTACTTCAAGATTGCACAATACCTATTTAGGAATTTTGCTCGTCTTTCATCCGATTATCAAATTACCGCGACTCGTGATCCCCGTGTAATCGATATACTCACGTTCGATTTTTCTTAAATAACTGTCACTAGCCGAAGCACATCGGATAGATCGTCTTACGTCACTCTCTCTTTCCGGTCGTGTTAGTTACAGGAATGTGTACGAAAGTCCCTCTGCGACATAATAAATAATTAATCGAATCCAGAGTTTCAGCCAAAATTGAGAGACCTTTGCATTATGCATGATTTCTGATGCTTGGTATTTTATTTATGTATGTTATACATGCGCAAACCAAATCGCACACATAGATTTGTACATATCAATACATTCGAGCGTTCATTGCTATTTTTAGCGTGACTTTTTATTATCGTACGAGTCATCTTTCTGTTTCCTCTATGTATGTACCTATAATTCCTTTCTACGTTTTCATAATCTCCGTAAAATGTGCGTTTGGGGATAAAGTTTCGCATCATTTTAATTCTAATATATAAAGATTCGCAATCCTCAGAATTTGCCAGTTGCTTCCTTTGGGGATAGATTTCTTTTCAATTCTTTTAAAAATTTGTATTAATTACAAGTTTGACATATTTTTTCATATGTAAAAATATATTTTTACGATCATAAAACTTACTTTGCGTGTGTAGTTTCCACTCAATTCGCGAATGGCTTTCATTCTTCACTCCTCACAATGCGTCATTCAATTCGCACTGAACGCACTGGCGATTCGAACGTCAGTAAAACGTGCGAAATATGGGCAGCGGAAGCGCGTGTCGCGTTTAATTGCTGCATTAAAAATTTTATATAAAAATCATTCTGAACGTGAAAATCATCTACGTGATTATCCGAAACCACTTGTTGAAGCCGATGTTAAACCGCAAGTGTCACACGCGTTTTCACCTTCGGGGCAGGGCAACGCAGAGAAATGAGAACGAAATGAGATTATATCCGAGAATGCGTTAAAAGCGGCCTTTCAGCTGTCCGTTACTCACAACGATCCATTGTATCACTTGGAAGAATAGGAAATGTTTTACTAAAAAAAGCGTCTTTCCGGTCTTTCTCAATCGGTCGTTTCTTGATGAATATACGCCGTTTGCCACGTAGAATACAGGCCGCCCTTAATCTTCGACAAATGCTCTGATTCATTTTGGCAAGCAATCCGAGACTTCCTTTACGAATTATTCTCGAATTAATTAACGCGAGACATCTTTCTATTTCAATTTCTTAAAACGAAATAAAAGAAATGATTAAACAGCTTTATCGTTAAACTTTCATTGTGTTCTTTTGATTTTTTTTACATCTATCATGCCAGACCACAATTCTAGTCTTTTATTATCATTTCGTATAATTTGCAAAATATTTGCACAAAAGACTTGTTTAAAGTACTTGATAAAATATTTTTTCCTCCTTTCAATAAAAATATTCTACACTGAGAAAAAAAAAATTGTTAACTTGACTAAATTCGTCCAACTAATTACTATTTCTTTGTATTTCTTTAATTATCGTATTTGACTTAAATATTTAAATATTTCAATTAAAAAAATACAAAGAAATAGTAATTAGTTGGATGAATTTAGTCAAATTAACAAGTTTTTTTTCTCAGTGTATATAATTTTTTTTTTTTTTAAGAGATATTTTGTTTGATCGTCGTTCACTTCGCTTGATAATCGATATGAATGAACACGAATTAGACGCGTTGCTTTTATATCGCTACACTTTACGCAGAAGCGTAAAATATGGGTAAATAGAGGTACGACACACGCGGTAAGACATACTCTTTGTCGTCGAATTATGGTCGCCGGGCTGTGAATCGTCGAGTATAATTAGATTTAACAATGTTTCTCCTTACGACATGATAGCTGTACCATTTTTGCAAGGCACGAATGCACATCGTATCGATGTCAAGGACATGGGACAAAACGCGAATCGAACCGCCGCGATCCTCGTCGTCGCGTTTCACTCGCTTTTTTTTTTCCACGCCACAGAGATGTTTCCTTTTCAGGATTTAAAGTATGACATCACCCTCACCTCGATGTTTTTTACATACATATAGTGCGCTCCAGCACGTTTTATCTTTCTTACATAACATTATTTTTACACTTACATGCGTAAAATACACTTCTTCAATGCTGCATATGGCAATTAGAAGAAAAAAAAATATGCTAATCGAGCATTTTTATGTGTGCGTGAGTAATTGAAAAATGAAAAATCGTGTTATGTTCCATAGACGTATAAATATGTCTATGATATGTTTACGCGAAGGTATATGTCATGGCCGACTATGTCGTCAGCTCTCAATCGATTCGTTATTTTTCAAGAACCGAGATATACATGATTATTATGAGATAACTTTCCACTTATCTCAATCATTTCTATACCACATATCGTATAATTCATCCACCTCATGAATTGAAAAACCGATATACTAATATTTCTTAGAATTCCGTAAATTTTGTTTACGTTCAAGGATCAGGGACATACTTATTTCTCGAGATAACTTTTGGAATTAGTGTTGGATGCTTTGTCTCAAAATTGTTGCAACAAAAGGAGAACGAAATATGCTCTGAGATTATCGAGTCGCGTTTTATCTCGCGCATTAAGGCTTGTTTGTCTCACGAGGGGGAAGAGATAACCGAGGAATATGGAGGCTGCCAAATATAGTCCGTTGCAAATCGACGACGACCGACTCTCGGCGCGGTGAAATTTTGCATTTCTCTCTTTCTCGCCTTTCGCGTCGCGCTCGCAGCGTGTGTTAGTAAGAAACTTTAAAAAATAAAATGGGCTCGATTTTATAAAACGAGAAATAATTTTCTAACTGGCACAGACGTGAGCACAATCAACTGCTTGATTTTTCTAATTGTAACGAATTATGAAAATGATTTAATTAATATCCTTTGTGTCTGAGAATAGACCCTCTCTTTCTCTCTTATATTTCTTCTTTCATGCTTTAAAAATATTAATTATTTTAACAAACATCTTGATTTTACGAAACTTATGTAATCCGAGTCGCTTTCATAATCGTCGGCAAATTTGTCGTCTCGTTTCCTGTCGCATCTCTGTTAAATTGCCAAGAAGTTCAGCGACATATTTGATACCCGATATATCTGACGTACCCGAAAATACGCGTATCCCGAATTTTCAACGGTCCGTTTAATAACGTCCCCCAGGCTTATTTCCGCCGACTATACGTAGCGCCCCGCGGATGTGAATCTGCACGCGATGCACTTCTGCGGTCGTATAAAGGAGACCTGCAACCTCCCACGTAGCTCTAACAACAGTTTTAACGGACTGTGCACCCAAGTTTGACAAGTAAAGCCGGAGCTCTCTCGCCCACGCGTGCGTGCGTGCGTGCGTGTCGTGTCATGTACGTTACGCTTGACCCTTTCTCGCGCGTTGTTTCTGTGTAATCTTTTCGCCACTATTGTGGCTTTCATTGCACTTTGTTCACTACACAGAGCGAGACGCGTGATGAAAAACTAATTTTCAAAAATATTGATGATTATTATTAGACAAAATTAAATTGTTTTCAAAGATAGCCTTTTTGAATATATATTTTTTCTACGTAAAACCGCCAAGAGAATTTTAAGGGCAATAAGTTCTTTACATAAAACTGTATATATACAGGGTGGCCCCGAACGTTCCAGCCAGACTTTGAGATCTTATAGGAAATTTAATTCTGAACAAGAAATTTCCGGTAAACATGGGTCGACAAATGCTTTCTTAAGAAGTTATCGCTCAAAAACCTCTGAAATTGTGATTATTTTACACATTTTTCCAAATATCATGGAAAATGTGCGTCTTTTAACAAAAAGTACCGAAACAAAAGTTGTAGAAAATTAAATTATCTTTCAAATGAGATCAAAATGATTGTTGTACGTTCCATAGATTTTGATATAACCAGTTTCAAACGTACAAAAGGTGCTTTTGTTACTTATTGTTAGATGCGTTAGATCAGTTTAAAAAAATTTATTTTATTTTTATAAAAAAGAAAAAAATTTTTATTTTTATCGTTTTTTCAAGAAATTTATTGTTTCATTTTCTTTTTATTTTATTTTCTTTTCACCTTTTGCTCTTCTTTTGCATCAGAGGTTTTTGAGCAATAACTTTTCAAGAAAGCATTTCTCAACCCATGTTTATAGGAAATTTTTTGTTCATTTTTTTCACCTTTTGCTCTTCCTTTGCATCAGAGGTTTTTGAGCGATAACTTCTTAAGGAAGCATTTTTCGACCCATGTTTATAGGAAATTTTTTGTTCAGAATTAAATTTCTTATAAGATCTCAAAGTCTGGCTGAAACGTTCGGGGCCACCCTGTATAATTAATACGCGTAATTGCAGTTCATATTAAGACGAATACAGCAAGATTAAGACATTCAGCATTAATCAAAGTCATAGATAAGAAAAACGATTGCATTGTCGAAAGAAAAAAGTAAATATATTTGAAAAGTATATGCTCTAAAATATTACAACATTGCATACATCTTCTCATATTATAAATGTTTTTCAAAAATATTAACTTGTCATTTATCTTTACCCAGCTTGTATAAAAATTGCAAAAAAATTGTAGTGACTTGATAAAAATTTTTGCTGTATATTTAAAGATGTAGAGAAAATTTGCGGATCAGACTGAAAAATAATTTTTCTCGAATTTTTATTATCTATAATAATAATATTAATAATTAATAATAATATTGTCTAATAATGAATTTTTTTAACACAATATTTTTATTAAACAATACAAATTTTTATAAGTCTTGTGCAATCATGTTATTATTTTACTAAATAAATAATGCAATTTGATACCGACAGATGCGTCCAATGATAATACTTTATCGAGTTGTTTATGTTTTGCGATGCAATGTAGGTACAAGTACGATGGACTTGTTTATATAATATCTTGATACGATTATAGATAGATTTTAGAAGCGCATATATTTCTGTCTGAAAAGATAATGACGCAGAGGCCAGCAAAGAGCCAAAGAGGAAGGCAAAAACTCTCGGTACTGAGCAATGATGTCACAACTATACGATAGCCCTGAGAGAACGTTTACCCCGGGGCTCGAAAATAGGTTTTATACATCTATGTATAGCACTTCGTTAACTGTATTTAAACGTCGCACTATATTGGGACGCTTTTGCAGCTTGCGACGCTAGTACATAAATCGCTTAATGTAAGATTTAAATTGTCAACGTTCATAAATATTCTTTTTATGTAAATACGAATTGTAATATGTTAAATATTATAGAATATTAATCGCCCTGTTACCGTTCATCTTAATGGCTTGCGTTATTTAATTACAACTTTCACCGTAATTATCATGCAATCTCATGTGCGCGTTTAACAGTCATAAAACTTGAACTTAAGCAAATGCAATTAGAGATTTTCTGGTTAGTTAATTGCACATTTCCTTAATTAAAAAAAAAACATTCTATTTGTCTGTGTCGTAATCACGAGTGCATTTTACATCTGACGTCTCGCAGGGCTCGCAGGTGAAGTGTAATTACGAATAAAGGGCAACGAACCGTGTGAGGGTGCGATTTCTGACTTCAAAAGGAGCTTTGGATCGATATGCATCACCCGAGTTGGAGATGTCAACATTACGCGGCAATTCTGCAATCTCTTAGGCTTGCTCTTTTTCTCTCTATCCTTAAATTCTTATCTTTTCTACATTATGGTCAATATTATGATGTAAAGAAAGAGAGAGAGAGAGAGAGAGAGAGAGAGAGAGAGACAAAGTACATCGTATTGTCAAAAAATAGTTAATTTTTTTAATAATATCTTCTTTTCTTTATTCAGTGCTTTTTTCGCTGCTTTTATTAAATATTTTACAAAAAATAATATTTTTAATATGTATAAAATAAAATGTTTAAATAGAATATATATAATATAAGATAAATACCAATATTATAATAAAATATTAAAAATAATTTTTATTATATAATCGAAATGCGAAGAATGTGCTGCGAGATATTGGTAACAGGAATCGATTGCATCAAGGCACTTCTATTATTAGCCAATCTTTTTCGCCGTAGTTGGAAGTGTTAATTAATATAGCTCGTAATGGAGCCCTCCGGAATGAACACCTTCTCTGTATTTGCTAAATTATCCGGTAGACCTCGATCGCCTTGATGCACATCAACGCGAAAAAAGCGACGATGCGATTTTGCCGAAGGAGGACAATCATTGCCACCACTATAATCGTCGCCGATATGCGTCATAAATTCAAACGACACATATGTGTTTCTCTTTTTTTACAGGTTGTTCAAAACGGTTTAGAGATCCTGACGTATCTCGCGGATCGGATGGGTCACGATTTCAAACCTTACATTTCCACCATCATTCAGCCGACTATAGATAGGCTAGGTGAGTGCGGAACGTATTTGTTCCATTCATTTGTCTTATAAATAACCTTCGAGAAGAAATCGGCAATAAACAATATCAGCGCTTAGGAAATTCCTATTATTATTTATGACAATCGAAAATTTTGCAGCTTATAATAATCGATACTGATGAAAGCTTATATTTTTGCTTATAACTTGAAGTACTTGTGATACGAAAATAATAGTGATGAGATTTGATGTCAAGTTTTTAATTAGAAAACTATACTATTTGAAAACTTTTATCTGAGAAACGAGTTTCGCTGCGTATTGAATGAATCATCAGTTAATCACTAAATGAGTTTCAAATAGAACGGAATGAAGTTTAAATGTCTTTAATGAGGTTGAAGTCTATGACAGATGTACACCATATTTGTCGAGAACCGGTCCGCCGATCGCTTTCAGCTCTCCCGCGAAGCTGATGTTGAGAATAAGTTGCACACATACGCGCGATTCGACAATATATCTCTCCTCCTTTCTTCGCTTTCAAATCTCATATTATTGTCATGCATACGGAAACTAACGATTAAATTTGCATCTATTGCAGGTGACAGTAAAGATGCCACTAGAGAAAAGGCGCAGTTGGTGCTTCTAAAGATCATGGAGAAGGGATGTATGTCGCCCCAAAATCTTCTTGATAGACTTCGTCCAGCTTTTAATCACAAAAATGCAAAATTACGAGAGGAAGCTCTGATTTTGTTGACGACAACGTTGAATGAGTAAGTGGCAAGTTTGCATTTATTTAAAAAATGAACATTATGTGTAAAATGATAGAAGGTCTTTGGAATGTATGGAACGTTTGAATTTTTTCAGACATGGAGCAGATGAGATGGCTCTATCAGGTGTGATCCCGAGCATTGTCAAGTTGTTGTCTGATCCTTCGGAAAAGGTTCGGGAGACCGCTTTGAACACGCTGGCGGACATTTATCGGCATGTAGGCGAAAGATTACGTGTCGATTTGCAACGAAAGCACAATGTGCCGCAAGCCAAGTAAGTGAAATGGCCAGTGAAAGCGAATTCTCTTTTCGGCTTTCAGTCTGCGAGAATTTCATGGCATATTTTCTAATCGTTATTCAATCGCTCGTGAAAGGCTTCTTCTCACTTTATATCAACCGATTAATGTAACGCGTTATAATAAATTCGGCTTATATGACAACAGATCAGAGGTCACTAGTGACGTAAAAGTGTATCTCGTGAAATCGCTTATTTTTCTGGGCTCAAAAGCTATGTTAGGAACTTGCCAAGACCGAGTAGAGAGTGAGCAAGATAAGCTAACTAAAAAGTTTCGAAATTTCTCTTATTTCTTTCGGGCTTATAATAATTCACAAATATGAATCATAATAAGAATAAGAATTGATATATTTTCTATTTTATTTTTTTGAAAATAACTTTTTTTTAAATAAATTAATGAGATTTTTATAGCTGAAATGACATTAAAAAAGAGATATTATTCGAATAATTTTTAGTTAGACACAATATATATATTTTTTTGTATTGTGTATCTAATTAAAAATTATCAGAATAATGTTGCATATTTGATGTCATTGTAACAACAATAATTTCATTAATTTATTTAAAAAAATCACTTTCACAAAAAGATAAAATAAAAAATATAAAAATGTTAGTTTGTACAGATAAGTTGGCTATCAAATAAGTATAAGAATATAAACAATAGTTCTCGCGTCAGGTTTACACGCTCGTTCGAGAGATAGGGTGATCATAGGATGATATCTTTGTCAAAAGTAAGCGACATTTATTGTAGTCAAATCTATGATCGTAACATTATGTAAACTCTTTTTTTTTCTGCTTACAGAATGCTCCTGTTAATAGAAAAGTTCGATCAACTGAAGGCAGCCGGCGATCTCCTACCTTTAGCAATGTCATCTGACGGTGAGTGAACCGATTAAATTTTCTGGCGCCGCAGGATATCGCTTAATTTAAAAGCTCGATGGTGATAAAAAACGGCGCGAGTGCCACGCGCATGTCACCCCCGGGCCTATATCGTTATTCAACGCACGCGAGAGCAGCTTGTATCGTGCTGCCATCGCGCAGCCACGGAGTCTATCATGTGGCGCGATTTTTGCCTTCGCATGCCAGGAAGATTCCTCTTACCCCGCTCGCTCTACCTCATCTCACCTCTCTCGCAACTTAAACGTTACATGTATACATCATGAATATTTATCAAGGACCGTATGTTCCACGATGTGACGAGAATACTCGCCGGTTTTCCACATCGGTATATGTGATCAATATATTGCGTGAACGACTTGGATTTAACGACACTTCGATATCTCCCTTCAAATCGGTATTTTTATCTCCTCTTCCGGTAAAGAAATGGAAAATTAGCGACGATACTAAAAGTATGGTAATTAATACCCGTATTAAGTTAAGCCTCCAACATTGGAGAAAATTAAATTTCTATTATCATTTGATTGCACATTGTTTGCACATGTTTGCCATTTTTGAATTTCTGCAAACAATGCCCAATCAAATGATATACCTACAGAAATTTAATTTTTGCGAATGTTTGGGAGTTAACTTAACACGCGTGAAATTTATGCGCTAGAGTAAAGCCGCGCATTCCGTTTCGCGTAAGCTTCGTTTCCTTGAACGAGCGATACAATGAGATCGCTAATTCGCGTTATCTGCATGCGTCGGGGATATTACATAATATTGCATACGAAGCGAGATAGAATCGCGTCGTCGCGATAGGCACCGCGTGCAATACATATCGGCGGTATATTGTTTCAAGCGCCACGCCTGTAACTCACACCGAAGCTAAGACGGTCCCGCTTGAAAACGGACGGCCTTGTAATTGCTCGGTTCGTCGGGTGTTCAAATTTCGGTCGCAAATATTACATATCGCGTCGGCAATAGTATACTTAGCTTCCCTCGCCTCGCGATTGATATAAAAATCCGCACCGACCAACAGCAAAGATTCGTCTACACCGTGGCACATTCTGTTTGCGTAATCGATCGCGGCATAAAATGTTAAGATCGCACACAAAGAAAGATAATACTTCACAATTCATCTTCGCGTTCGTATCTTTAACTTTTCATAGGTTCACCGGAGTTCCGCGATTTATTCCTTCTTCGCGCCATGTGATTATTAGTTGCCGTCATTAATCACCACGCTATGCACGATAATTTTGCGACAGGCCAGATAGTTTTCATTGTTGGAAAGTTATTAATTATCCTTATAAATCAAATAAATTAAAGACTGCTGTTTGTGACATAAATGTCACAAGTAAAGAAGCTCATTAAATAATTACTGTCAGTTAACGTGAGGCAATTCGTCATCTCTGGCGAAAGTAGCGGTTAAAATTTAATAGAATTTTTAATAAATTTATACTATGAAAGTTTTTTCACTATCTACTCTCCCTCTCTCTTTTTTTCTCTCTTATTGTCAGATCTAGAATCGAAGATACGCGCATCTTTAAGTCCATTTCTTTTGCTACACCCTGTGAATACACATCGGTCACGATTAGATCATACATGGGCTTGGCAGAAGAAGCCACGGCGCTTCGCTTGATTTCAGAGATATTAATAGAACTCAAAATAGCCGTGAAGCGCTAATAGCGATCTTCCGCGAAGCGTCGTGCATCCCCTTCATGGACATTCGAACTTCCGGTCATAGCAAAGTCCGGGGGATCAATCTCAGGCGTTATTAGAGCCATCCATGAATATTCTAAAGCTTCTCTTGCCAGTAACATTTTATATATTTTTAAAATTATGAAATCTTAAAATATTAATTGAAATTAAATTCTTTAATCTCCATCTTGCATGTCAATTAAAAACATGTAACTTAATTAAAATTATTTAATATAAAAAAAGTTTGAGAATTACTCTCGTAATGAGAAAATAATACGATTGCGAGGAATTAATCTTCGATCAACACGTGTTATACATTGATATGTATCTTCATTCATGCATAACATATATTCATTCATGCATAAACCTTTACTTAACTGTTTCGCATAAATTCAATTTTCAATTCTTTTTTTCTTTTTTTTTTATAATTTGCACATACTTTGATGTCATGACATAACTATGCGTGACGGTTGTTCGCCGTGTTTCGACGACTGAAATCGCGTTCTACGAATGCGAATGAGAATCGCGGAATGAATATTTTTTCATAGCGCACACCTCAGTGGACTTTCAGTGACGCGAATACGTCGACTAAAATCGTCATCGTGACGACGGTATCTTCGCACGATGAAGTTATGCGACACGGAAAGGTTACGCGAACCTGGCGAGCGAGCAAAAATTTGCATAAGTCTCGTTTTCGCTCTCTCTTTCCCCGTGACCCCGCGTGCAGCGGGGATTGTGCTAGAGGTTCACAGGCACATACTACGCGATTTCTCCGGAACGCGCCAGCGCTCCTTGATTTGCATCTTAGAAAAGTAAAAAGATCTCCACTCTCTTGTGAATAAAATCAACGCACGACGATTAATAAATGTCGCCCCACCGTGTAGGATACGATATATTTTGTGAAACAAATTGACAACTCTTTGGCAATCTTCCACACGCGTACACAGTGTATATTTAAATTCTAATATACGATTCTAATTTACGATTCGGATATGGATGTTACGAATCGCTACGAATTGATCTTCAAATCGAAAAAGAAATCGCTAAGCTTTATATTAGATTTAAACAGGGTGTCTACTCCCTGGAAAAACATGGGAAACCTAGAATTCACAGGCAGTCTTTTTGTACCTGGAGAAATCAGGGAATTCTCATGAAATTTTATTGGGATTCACAGAATTTTTTTTTTATATTCTCTCTTTGATAATTTCGCTCTTATACTGTAAGCAGTAGGTAATCTGCCAATTTGTTTATATATACGTGTGTTCAATGTTTTAACAAAATATTTAATATGCAATATATATTCTTACTTTAATTTTTAATGATTAAAAATAAAAATGTTATGCATGTTAAAAATTTTTATATTAACGAAAGCTTTTTTTTAATACATTTGTAAATCTATCACTTGAAACTTAAGTGGCTTTGTGTGTTTCCTTCGTATAAGTGAAAAGCATTAGAAAACACGTAAAATAAAAAAAAACTTATCTTAGGAAATTGCACCAAAAAATCTTTAAAATATTCTCTTTACCTGGAATTTTGAACAAAAATACCTGAAAGATGAAGGAATTTTTTTACAAGATGTGAATATAGATACCTTATTAAATTATTACGTCTTAGATTGTTTGTGTATGTAATAAGAGACTTTAATTATAATATCTTAATCCTCGCGCGGGGATGATTCGCGCCGCGTACTTGTAGGAACTATCTCTCCCCCCATGACACATGGTGAATTCACACCGCCGTCCACCCGCGCTCGCTCTTAAACTGACGCCTTATTACGCGACCTTACCCCGAGGGCAGCGAGATGCATGCTCACGTGGTCAAGTGAAAGGTAGGGTGGCAAACACGCAGATTTATCTTCGCAGCTCGGCGCACGATTCCAGGCTGCGCGCATCGATCAGATATGAAAAACACGGAATAACGCCCGGCTGCTGCCCTTTCGTCGCACCGCGTTCTTTGACCGCTGCCCTGTTAACCTTTCCATAGCCGTGGGTCAATAAAACGAGCTATTAGAGAATTCTAAAAATATATTTTCTTATTAAGAAATAATTATGGATCCCGCGTGACAATTATCTGCGATAAAGACTTCAATGTTCAAATGTTTTTGTTTTCATGGAAAGTAAAATTACAATTAGATAGATTTTATGCTGTAATATTAAGGTAAATAATTGAAAGATTATTAATCCTAACAATTCGCGTTAATATATAAATATACTTTATTTGATAATTCTTCGCACAATATCGTCGCGATAACACAGTAAATTGAGCATGTTAGATTACTGGGTGATCAAAAATTTAAGGCGTTTGGAAAATTTCTACGCTGTCTCTTCTGAATGAAAAGGGATAAATTACTGTATGATATAATAATTGTGTGCTTAATCTGACACATGACGCCTCGCGCTCGATAAACGCATGTGTACGCTATTATGTAACGGCGAGGCCTGTTATCGCCTGCCTTCTTGATGCCGGCCAGGCAAAAGCCATGTGTGGGCGATTCTTCTTAACGTTGTCTCTCTAACAGCAAGGGATATCGACACTCACATTTTCCGATACTGATGATCTCAGCAAGACACAGAAAATCTATTATCGATCGCCAGTTTCTCCCTCGTGTTTGTTTTTCATTCATCTTCCGAATCGAACTGTGTCTTGTTTTTCTCGAAGTTCTTACCTGATCTTAATCAAGCATCTGCTCTAATTTCTGTCTTGCTCAAAAGCATCTTTAGGATGATTCGTAAATTATCTTTGCGTGCAAAATTTTAAAAATATTTATTTCAGTCATTGCATATTTCGAGACATTTGTTTTAAGATGATATGAAAAATCGCGAATTTAATTCGCGAACGAGGTTTACGAACTTTCACCAAGATTATATCCATCGTAAATCGATGACAGGTTTAATTTGACCATAATTTGCCTTTATGAGTTAAAATCGGGAAAAGAAGCAAAGCGAAGATCGCGACACACTCGACGTCGGAATAAGACGTTAAATTTATTTCTTTTTGCGAAACGAAGCGGTTAATCAACGAAGATCTATCGCGAATCTTGGACTAAATCCGTCTTTATTTAATTGGCGATAATTTTTCAAACCACTGTCGTCTTTGATGCACGATGAATGCTGCCAATTTTCTTCGTATTTTCGAGCATCATTATTTCTTTGCTCAACAAGAAGGCCGCCGGGAGAGTATCTAGTTTAGCGACCAATTATATGTCTCGTTCTTTTTGCAATGCGAAGCGCAAAAAGCGGAATTCAAGCGCCGGCTTATTTTCACCGATAATGGTGTCCGTAATGATCCTGTTTTGCGAG